GCGAGCGAGCTTTGGGGAGACTTAAGAAAGCTTCTGTGATCCGTTTCTCCCAAAAGTGCACAGAACTGACTACATGAAAATAGAACGATTACAAAATTGTCCCATTGCTGCGATTTGTAAATTGTCTATAATAACGTAGTGGTGAGTAATTAACCAATGAATGCTTGGCGCTGTATGTGATTTGTATTTTTATACATATGTATATTTATGCGTAATAGATGCGAACAAGACCATCAAATGATGAAAAGTCATCACACTTTCTTTCATTTTCACTTTTTAACGTAAAAAATATTTTAAATCCACATATAAATCTTCTTATTAAAGATGCGTTGACATATGTTGCGGGGCCGATAAGGATGTCGCCCCCGCAAGCTTTATGAAGAAACGTGTGAACAGCCAATACAATGAGGGGACAAAGGCAAAGGTTTATGAAACAATAACGTCGATTTTATTAATTCCAATTGTACAAGAGTGTACTCTGAAGAAATGCGTTTAAATCGGTGTCGGGTCCGGTATGACTGGTTCTTGTTTAGGGGTAGCTGCTTTCGGTTGTATAGAGTTGATTGGCGAACGTAGCTGGTCGACTGCCGGATGGAAGAATAGACTGAAACAGCAGCAGGTTGATCGATGTCCCTAAACAGGGCCAAGTCAGAACAGTGATACGACTTCAGAACAGAGATACGACTTTACTGGGCGGATCGACCGCGGAAACAGGATCGCGCCCGCGTACCACTTGGCGAAGACGGATCCCCAAACAGGGCCAAAGAACAGTGACAGACTTCACTTCGACCGCGAAGATCGCGCCAGTGTACCCTTGGCGAAACAGGGCCCTAAACAGGGCCAGAAACAGTGACAGACTTCACTGGGCGGATCAACCGCGGAAACGGAATCGCGCCAAAGTGTACCACTTGGCGAAAACGGAGTCCCTAAACAGGGCCAAGGCAGAACAGTGATAGACTTCACAGGGCGGATCGACCGCGGAAACGGGATCGCGCTAAAGTGTACCACTTGGCGAAGGCGGAGTCCCTAAACAGGGCCAAGGCTGAACAGTGATAGACTTCACAGGGCGGATCGACCGCGGAAACGGGATCGCGCCAAAGTGTGTCACTTGGCGAAGGCGGAGTCCCTAAACAGGGCCAAGGCACGGATCGACCGCGGAAACGGGATCGCGCCAAAGTGTACCATTTGGCGAAGACGGAGTCCCTAAACAGGGCCAAGGCAGAACAGTGATAGACTTCACAGGGCGGATCGACCGGGATCGCGCCAAAGTGTACCACTTGGCGAAGCTAGTCAGAGAGGTGATACGTCTTCCAGGGCGGATCGACCGCGGAGACGGGATCGCGCCGAAGAGTAACACTCTAGACAAAGCACCGGAAACTCACAAAGGCAGCGTACTACACTTTGATCCAGCCCCCACCGGGTCGAGCAGCTTAGTATTTATCGATCCGCACACGAGGATAGAATGTGGCACAAGGCCGGTTTAATGTGGGTATCCCCGAGCCCGTAGGCTCGGCCAAAAATATAGCCTTTTTGAACCGCCTTGACGGATTCAGGCCCTGTCTACCTCCCCGAACGAAACCTTGCCCTTCGGCAAAGCTTCGTCCGGGTTCCTCTCTGCTAATGCAGAGAGTTCGACAGACGCCGACTCGGAAGCTCACAAAGGCAGCGTACTGACGAAAAAAGGGGCTAACAATATTTGGAGCGATTTATTCAAGTACTCCCTGGCTAGAGGGAATAGAAAACCGTAGATATTAAATTAATATCAATGGTTGTCCGATGTTTGAAAGGGCGCTGCATAATCCGATGCTCACGAGGTACGGTTTGGCATCAACGATATTGGACTAGTCATCCGGTTTCTCGCATGTTGCTTGACTTAAATCTGCGAGATCAGGCTTTGTGAAGGTCAAGGTCGTCTTTCTAAGGAGCGATAATGGCGGCCGCGACACATATCATCATTTTAGAATATGTCATATTTCGATCAAATATGAAACTAATCACGTGTTCAAACGCCGGCTATTTTAAAACGCTAGAAAATTTAGTTACAAGCCAATACAATAGAACGTTCGGCGTAGATAAAGTATCAACTGGATGTGAAAAACTCAAACACAGAAATCAAAATGGAAAAAATTGATCTCTCTGCATGGGAATTGGCGCATATCTGGCAAAAATAAATCAAAATTTCAGATAAATATAATTTTAATTTCTAATCAAAGGCTTTCCCGCTTCTTTTTTGGGAACCTAGGAAATTACCCTTGTAATCCAGTTTAGGCGCAATAAAAACGATTTTTTTTTCTTTTTACTATAACTGTCAGTCGTCATTAAAGTCTCCCACTGTCGCGCGTACCTGCATGGGAATTGACGCATATCTGGCAAAAATAAATCAAAATTTCATATAAATATAATTTTAATTTCTAATCAAAGGCTTTCCTGCTTCTTTTTTGGGAACTTAGGAAATTACCCTTGTAATCCAGTTTAGGCACAATAAAAACGCTTTTTTTTTCTTTTTATTATAACTGTCAGTCGTAAAGTCTCCCACTGTCTCACATATCTACGCCGACGTGGATCTCATTCCATAAAACTGACGCACTAACGCAGTAGGTTATTTATTTATTTTATTTATTTATTGCTTGTTCGGTTTAAATATAAAAGGTTGAAATTTAAATACACTGAATATTTTTTAAATGCATTCAGGTAAAATAAAAGTAATTGTATACAGAGATATTGCAAGAACAATCTATCTCAATGGATTTTAAGGGTTCGATTAAAATATCCGGAAAGTCTATCGAATACAAAATGCTTGAGGGTATAATAGTCAAAATGTATACCAGCAATCAAGGTGTATCCAAATTTAAAAGTAAGTAACTATTACAAATTTTTATTTATTTGTAATTAACAGGTGTTCACTTTTAACTGGTTTTCATGTCCATGTGAAAACTGACAATAACTATGGTGAAGGTATCTCCAAACATTCGCTAGACACACGATGAAAAAATGCCCCAAAATTTAATAAAAAGAAAGTTTTATTATCAAAATCTTTGTGATTATTAAGAGCAAAGACCAAAGAATCATTCATTATTAAATTATATTTTTTAATCTTTTTAGAACCTTCGAAATTTTGGTTAAAAATTTCGTTTTTCTTGCGCCTAAATGACCCTAAATTAGTATGGAAAATTTTAGTGTCTTTTTGCAGTGAAAAATACATTGATTTGGAAATTCTTGCAAAAATCAAATAATTGTTGAATTTTAATGAAACTTTCAGAACTTATTTACAAATGAATTAATTTATTTTTTTTAAATTTTCATTTTTAGGAAATTCTGTTTTTTGTTTTTTTTTTTTGTTTACATCTGTTAGTCCCGCACTACCACCACTTATTTAATTTTATGAAATTTCGAAAAATTACTTTTTGTATCGTTTAATATTTATATTAATTTTAATCAGAAGTCTCTGGAGAATTTAAATCATCAATTTCGTTTTGTAAAACAGGAACCCCAATTACCGAAAATTTGCTCTGAATCGAAAAATATAAAAAAAATACAATAAATTATTTAATTAGAAAAGCTTTTATTAAAATATATTATGGACAAGAAAAAAATTTTTAGATGAATAATGAATTTTTACAGGAATAGTTTTCATTTTTTTTTTAATTTTGATTATAATTTATAGTTTTAGATCTTTTAGAATTCTGTATTAATTTGAGTCGGTTATGTAATATTGTTATTAAGTAAAAGCTATATTTACTAATCATAAATGCAAAAGCTTACTACAATTCAGTGAACCCCAGTATTTCAAAAAGTATTTTGAATTTTTTTTTTTTTGTATGTGTATGTATGTGTGTGTGTGCTCGCGCGCGTATAAACCTGCCGATTTTTGTAAATACGGATGTCCATACATGACATCAGAAAATAAGAGCGATAACTATATTAAAATTCAAAGCCAAAGTACCTAAAATTCAGTAAAACATTGCATTATGAAGGATATTTTCCTAAATATTTAAGATTAATGAGCAGTTAAAAATCATATGAAAAGGTCGCTAACCTAATGTATTTTTTATAGATATGTCCCCCGTAGAAAAAATTAGTTAAATTTCCGGCTGTCAATAGATCTTTCAGGCTGTCAGTATAACTTTCAACACCTCATAAAAACACCTATCTCCGTGTTAAAACAAAAAATACATTTCTGCGATATTTTAAATTAAAAGTAAGCAATATTTGTTTCAAATCAGATTAATTAAACTTTTTAAATCAGCTAATATTTCTCAAATAAAATTTCATAAAAGTATATTTTATTTTTGAAAGATTTTTTTAATAAACATTGTGCTGACAGATGGCTAAAAAAATCTGCGATTTTCAAAAAATGACCTTCCTGTGAATTTAAATTCGTTTTGAAGTACTTTTCTTATTGGAAATATCAAATTTAATCTGTTAGCTTGAAATTAAAAGTAAATTAAAAATTGCAAGAGAGATTTTTTTTATTTTTTTCAAAATTTATTTTTTAAATCTTAGGTATAGCGTTTCTTTGTACGTACCTATGGTGTTTTTCTAGTTTTAGGCTAAAGCTTTTAGCACACAAAAAAAATAATATTCAAAATAAATCCTGAAAATAAATATTCAAAAATATGAATCAAAATCATCTCCTGTTATTCATGAAAATGCAAAGGGAAAATTAAAAACATAATTTAGAATTTAACACCATCAGCTCGGCTGAACCAGCCAGTGTGATGCATGCTGTTTCAAAGTGAAACATAAAAATAAAAAATAAAAATAAAAAGTAGTGCGTCCCTGGTTGCCATGGCAATATTTTTCGACCAATCAGATTGCGGTATCCGTTGCACCGGTAGCAAACCAATAAACAAGTAATGATGGCGGCTTATACAACGGCGATGCGATCCTAAACACCAACAAAGATAAGAAAAAACAAAGCAGACACTTATATTCAATATAATCAGTCACAAAAGTAATACACACATTAAAGTAATTCTTCAAGAGTCCAGTGTTATAAGTTTCCAACCCCAGCTTTGTGAGGTGGGTAACTTACTTTACAAAACATCCTCTGAGTTCTGAAATCGATATGTTGCAGTAATAGATCAAGTAGTGGCCTGTTTTCTTTTTCTTCTTCTTATTTTTTTTATTAATATAATTTATTTATGCAGTTTTAATACCACTTGTTTGTTTAATTAACGGTTGATTTTTTTGAGTGCTTGTTATCGCTTCACTGTTTATTTCAATCAGATCTGAAACTCAAACGTAAAGAAAAGCTAGTCAAGACTTGTTTTTTCATCTCACTCTTCTTTTATTTAGTTTTGTTTTTACTACTCTCTTCTGCTTTTATCTTCGAGTCATTTCGATAAATGAAGAATATATATTTTTTAACTGATTATTGATAATCTCTTTAGAAACAAATAGTTAAACTTTTATGAACAGACCGCATGGGAGACAACAATTCAATGGTTGCGTGGGCGTATGTCTAGAATTGGTAATTTATTAAAGTTTGTTGTTTTAAGAAAATAAATAAATATGTGTCTAAAGTTATAAGATTTTATGTTTCTGGGTGTGGAAACAGTTCGTTTTATTTTGTTTTCTTTGTATGTGCATGTGAGGGGGGAAAACCTAGCACTATTTAAAAAAAATGACTTGTGAATCAAAAATCGTATTTTATATTTTAAAAAACTACTAATTGTCATTATAATTAGAGTTCTTTGGTGAATTTTATAGTAAACAGAACTAAAAAAAAAAAAACTTACGGTGGTAAATCATGGTAATAATAGTCTGTCCGCTGCTACTACAAAAAACAACACTTGTGCATCCAACTCCAATTTCCCCTGATCTCTTTTCTAACACTCGTTTTTGATTATTTAAATTTAAAACCCTAAAATAATTCATATATTCACCTGTCTGTTTCATGGCTAAAAAATCATTTTAATAAAATATCTCGTTTTTAAATCTACTTTCACAAAAGAAAAGAAACAGCTTCTTTGAAGTCAGCATTTCCCTGTTTTGATATGGTAATTTTTAAGAATGTAATTTTTTTTTTATACCTACCAACCACTGCCCATTACCGGTTCACTTTCACAAGCAGCCTTTTTTTTATTAATTTTTTTTATTATTATTTTTAGGGTTATTTTTAATTTATTCTAGGATTCAAAACACGCCTCCACTATATAATTTATTATTTCTTTTTACTTGTTTGTTTATTTAATTTTTATTTATTTATTTTTCAAAATATGTTCACTGACGAGTGACGACATTGTCAGCCAGTATAACTATTATTTTTAACACAACTACTAAAAACAAACCAAACAAATAAATAGCGAAAACTCTTTAGTTTGTTGGTTTGTTTTTGTTTTGTTTTTTTCTTTGAATTTTATTGTAATTGCTGTGTTTATCGTCTGTCGTCGTATAGGACACCACCCGTCCTCTCTCCCTCCCTTCCAGAAAAAGGACTCGTAATTCCGTGTATTAGAACAAATGGATGCGTCGCGTTATGGGGCCCCAGGGTAAATGGTTAAAATAAAAACAAGACTCGTTGGCTATGAGTCGTTGTTTCGATCCCCACTGGATGCTCCCATACAAAATTCGATATTAAATTAAAGGTTTGCATATAAATTCAACCAGCCTAACCAATTGTAATGTGTTTATCATCTTCTATATGCCTTGTCCCTTCAGTTCGTAGGCGATTATGGCTCTCCACAACTTCCTGTCCTTTGTAGCCCCTCGTGAGGTCTTTTTGTTCTCTCTCCTAATCCCTGTTCTGACAAATTTCCGAGTCCTCTTTCCTCATGTTATGCCTTATAAATTTCAACTATTTCTTCCTGATGTTAAAATAAATATAAGTTTTCTTTTTCTTTCTATTTTCTCTAAAACTTTGTTGTTGCTCACATGTTCAGCCCATGGTATTCTATTCTCAGTATCCTTCTGTGTGCCACATATCTCTTCTCCATATATGAGGATATTGTTCAGCATCCACTGCCATATAGGAGAACCAATATTACATGACAGTTAAGTACTCTTTTCTATGTTTATCTTGTGTCATATTTATCACCCCCCTATAATTTTTCTCAGTTTCTTTTTGTTTTTGTTATAAAGGTAGTCTTTATTTTTCTTGTATGTATATTAGACAATATCAGTTTTTAAACTTCTATTATTTTAATGTCCTAAGATTTTACATTAATTTTTAGAAAGTTTTCTTAGATGTTCTTGTCAGCACGAATTGACCTCACTGCTGGGTTTTTAACAATGTCCCTCCAAAAAATGTGATTAACACTTTGAGTCCTGACCACTGCTTCACCAGTGGTAGAAAAAAATGACGTAATGCCCAGCCACTGGTTGAACAGTAGTAGAAAAAAATAACTTAATGCCAGCCACTGGTTGAACAGTGGGTAAACACATGTAACTATTTTTATATCTACCATGAAACATTACATACCAATTATTTGCAAATTTTGACATAGGAGCTCAGGCAGGAAGGTTATAATTGTTCATGAACCCAGGGCTCAAAGGGTTAAAATGCATTTTTAAAATGAAAGATTTTTCTTAAAGCTTTAATTTTAGTTTTCATCCCAAGCTAATAGATTAAATTTAATATTTCCAGTAAGTAAAACACTACTTGATCAATAAATTCAATATTGATAGATCTATCAACACAAAATAATTCTCTTTATTAAAAAATCTTTCAAAAACAAAATATAATTTTCTGAAATGTTATTTCAGGAAAATTAGCTGATTTAAATTTGAAATATTGCAGAAAAGAATTTTTTTAACATGGAGGGGCTGTCTGACATGTTGAGTGATTTATTGATAGCCTGATATTTGAGAAATTTAAATAAGAGGGACAGAACTGAAAAATTACTTGACAAATACAATGTGAATACCTTTTTACTAAATTTTTATTAAACTACCCAGTAATCTTAAAAATTTAAGAAAATATTTAAGCATTCTAATATTTTATTGAATTTTAGGTACTTTAGCTTGATAATCTTATGAAGATGCTTGTTGAGAAAATGTTTGAAAATTTTAAATTTATGAAAGGTAATTTTCTTCTTTTATGATAATGATAGCTTTTCTAATTAAAGAATATCTTAGTTTTATTACTTTTTTATTTTATGATTCAGGGCAAATTTTCTGCAACTAAAGGATCCTGTTTGACCAAAATATTTTGATGATTTAAATTCTCTGAGAACTTGTCCTAATAACAAATATAAACATTAAATAATACAAAAATGGATTTCTTGAAATTTCATAAAAATTCAAGGAGTGTGAGTGTGATAAGTAAAAAAAAAAAAAACAATTTTCAAAGTGTTTCTAAAATAGATGTGTTTAAAAAATAATTTAATTCACTTCTAAATAAGTTTTGAAAGTTTCATTAAAATCTGACAATTATTTGATTTTTGCCAGAATTTACAAATCAATGTGCTTTTTTTATCCCACTGCAAAATTGGGACCAAATTTCCTGGATAAATTTAAGGTTCCACATCGACACCAAAAACAGAACATTTTTAACCAAGATTTCAAAGGTTTTAAAAAGGATTTTTAAAAATTCACATCAAAGAATCCTTTGATCTTTCTTCTTAATAACACAAAAATTTTGACAGTAAAATTTTGCTTTTGGTCATTTTTTATTATGTATATATATATATAAGCAAATTTTTGGACGTGACTATGTTGAGATTTGTTGATGGAGTTTTAAATAGGCACTGCAGAAAGAATTTCTTTGTTTTTTATATATATATATATATATATATATATATATATATATATATAAAGCACTGTAGATCATGAATATCCCCTAAAAATATTTTTTACATTTTCTAAAAGTCAGTGGTGGGAGGGTTCTTTATGCTATGTAAATTCTTTGTAAATTAATCCCCTGCTTATACCACATAATTTCTTTAAAAAAAAAAAAAATAATAATAATAAAATAACTTTGCCATCATTGTTAAAAAAAAAAGCAAATGCTTCCATTACACTTGGTGATGTCTTCCTAGACTTACCAGCTTTATCATTGTGAATGTCTACATTGTCATTTGGTATTTCTTGTCACTGTACATGCTCCAAGGAAGTCCTTTTCTCACCAGAATCCATTTTGCACATTTATAAATCTACCATTCATCCGTGCATTGAATATTGTTGCTATATCTGGTCTATTGCTCCTGCTATATGTCTTGAAATTCTTAACCAAATCCACAGATGGATCTGTTATGTAATATCATCTCAACTTCAGTCATTTTCCCATCACCATAATATAGCTTCCCTCTGTCTTTTCTATAAATATTTTCATGTCAATTGTTCTAATGAGCACTTCCCTTTGGTACCTTAACTGCAGAAATTTAACTGTTCTACTAGATTGACATTTTACTGTTTAAATACCTAGATGTAACTTTAAATTCTATTCAAATAATTTCTTTTCTCACACTTCTCACCTGTGGAACTCTCTTTTGGTTTCTCACTTCCCTGCTACCTACATTCTTCAAAAGTTTAAAAGCAATGTCAATCACCATCCGTCTTCCTGAAACCTGTTCCTTTACTGTCCTTTCTCCTCTTCTCACTAGTTTTCTCACTTTCTTTCACTCACAGTAACCCCTTGCATCTTAGTGGCATTATCACTTTGTTTGGGGTGAAATGATTAAAAAAAAAAGTAACTAGTACTATGCTTTCACTGGTAATTTCTCCAGCCTTGCAACTAGCCTTATAATTATTATTAATTATCATTAATTGTTACTTATTGTTAATTCTTCTTCTTTGTGCTCTTACATTTTATTTCTTCCTCATGTCATTTATAAGCTATTTTCCTGCACAATATATTTTTCCATATTCTTTTATCTTGTTCCCTAATTTTACTCTAAGGGATATCACTCGTTATTTTTTGCAACATTCCCATTTATTCAAGTATCTCAGAATCGTCCACATTTGTTCCTTCATGCCAGGGCTTAAATTTTTTTATGCTTGCAACATCACAAATGTTTTCTTGTTCACTTTGCCATTGGGTCTACCATATTAAACCTGTTTTCTTAAAGTTTATTGTTTAT